AAACGACTGGAATATAACCGGTGAACACCACACTAATGTTTCGGAGGAGACAGGTAACGTTCACCCAGGTATCGTCCAATTAGTTGGACACCTGAGGCAGCCAATATGCTGGAAACAGTTTGAAATCCCAAATCACCTGGTTTCCTGAAAACAACATAATTATGGATAATTATATAGTGAAAGTTTGGGCAATACGTGATTCTACCTAACAAGTATATTATATTTTTATTTTCTACATACGCTGTTATTAGAATTTTTGAATCCACGCAATTTTAGCATTCTTAGATTTCCTAAAAGTCTCTCAAAGCAGCACCCGGTTGGACCAAGCTGTTGTAAGTGACTCCTGGGCCTATAGGCCGGACTTTAGGGAGTAAAAGAACTCCCGTAAAGTAGAGTATACTTCAGGTATACTGCAGATTGGAAGTTGTATATGGTCATGCGGGACAAGCTTGGTTCCGGCACCCACAGTGGGAAACAGTGTTGTGTAGATGTGGTCTCCCGCGACTCCACCTTGAGCGAGCTCTGAGGTTTCCTTTGTGTGGTGTCGAGGCTTCCTTGAGGGGTTTTGAGGTTATCTCGGAACCTTACTTCCCTTCTCTCCTCCCCTTCCGTCCCTGCTCCCACTCCCCTCTCCTCCCTCTCCCCTTACCTCTCTATCTCACCTTCCCTCCCTCTCCCTCCTCCCATTCTCTACTCCCGTTCCCTCTTTTCCTGGGGCCTGGCCGAGCTCGGGGAGTAGGAGAACTCCTGAAACTCTCTCCGGGTATACTTCCCTCCCTCTCTGTTCCCCTTCCCCTTCCCTTCCCTCCCTACTGCCATACCCCCATTCTCCCCTTTCCATCCTGATGTTTCCTTCCTCCATCCAACTTGGCTTTCCTCCATCCCTCCCCTCCAAATCCTCCTCCTCCTCCTCCTCCCTCAATATTCCCACTCTTCTTTGGACCCCTGCATCCCTTTCTGTTCCTCACTTCCCACCCTTCCCTCCCTCCTTCCCACCTTACCCTCCCTCCCACCCTTCCCACCCTACACTCCCTCCTTCCCACCATTCCTTCCCACCCTACACTCCTTCTTTCCCACCCTCCCTCCTACTCTTCCCATGGCGCTTCTCTGAGCAATCTCGACCCTCGGCCGAGGTCTGATGACGTGTGTATTGGCTGGTTATTCACTGGCTTGCTCAACCTCAGCTTTCAATTCAAAGGAGCTTGAGGGAGATAGAGGAAAGAGGGGGACAGATAAACAGAAATAGAAGAGATGATAAGAGGCAGGTAAGATAAGAAATAAGAAATGCAAAGACGAGGAAACGAGGGTGAAAGGAATAAGAGGCAGGAAATGTAGAGAGAGAGAGAGAGAGACGCACGAATCGGTAGTGACAAAGCTATTATTAAATTTTTTCACTATATCGGAGAGGTCGACCGTGGCGGAAAACAAGGGTTGTAGATCCGTGGAGTGACACAACAATCCTCCGGGTGCTTCTTATTGATTGTGCTGGCGGCCAGGGTGAGGGAGGGAGGGTGAGGGAGCAGAAAAGGAAGGAGTATGGGAAGTTGAGAGGCAGCGGAGTATATGGTAAGGGATTGAAGTAGGGAGAGAGTATAAGCGGATGATTTGGTTTTTTTCCTAGGCTGTAGCGTATATAATGAGGGATTTGTGAGGTAAGGGAGGGAGGGAGAGAATAGTAAGAGACAGGATAGGTAGGTAACGACAGTAGTGAGAGTCGGGATAAGGTAGGTAGGTATAATCGCCATAGACAGGATAGGGAAGGATGTAGGTATATATATAATATCGAGAGACAGGATAAGGAGGCAGGTAGATAGATTTAGTACCAAGAGTACTTTGATACAACATCCGGTTCTCACTACTTGAGAAGCGTCAGATTTGCTGTCATCCAAACCTGCCAGTATACCTGCAGCAGTTGTAGGTGGCATGTACAAAACACTAACCATTCCACCATGTTCACATTTGCTCAAGTTAATCTGTAAGGCACCTGAGATTGAAGGTAACAACCACACCTTAATTAACGTCTTGGAAGAACACAAAGATAAGGATAACTGCAGCTGGCCAACTGACACAAGGCGGCTCCTGTTTACATCCACCTAAACTCATTCACACAGAAGGAAATCACAGTAACAGTGAAACATCTATGAGAATATCTCTGGAGCAGTGCTTCTTATCTTGAGATGATTTCGGGGCTTTTTAGTGTCCCCGCGGCCCGGTCCTCGACCAGGCCTCCACCCCCAGGAAGCAGCCCGTGACAGCTGACTAACACCCAGGTACCTATTTTACTGCTAGGTAACAGGGGCATAGGGTGAAAGAAACTCTGCCCATTGTTTCTCGCCGGCGCCCGGGATCAAACCCGGGACCACAGGATCACAAGTCCAGCGTGCTGTCCGCTCGGCCGACCGACTCCCAGACCAACACACCAGAATATGAGGAGACGACGACGTTGCGGTCTGTCTTGATACTGAACAAGATAATGGAAAATAATCGACTTGATAATGGTCCAGGACGGACCGAAACGTCATCTGCTATTCATCATCTATTGTGTGGTTTGGTCATCATATCATCAGCCACGTTATTGTAACTCATCGTCTGAATTTGGAGCAGTGCGATGAAATCGAACCTGCGTATACTCACATCCGTCATTTTTTTCTAAAGAATAAACATAAAATAACATTTGAATATAATAAAACTTCATAAGTCTGAAACTGTCTCGCTAGGCCAGACTCCATCAAGATTAACTTCAGGGCCTAAAGCAAGTAGCAGCTGTTCTATAACTGGTCTTGTGGATCAAGACGAGCTCCCTAATACATGACAACAATATCCAAAATCAAGACCTTTCGAAAAGCTTTAAATAGTTTAATGAAGTCTCACAAGATTGGCTGGGTCCAAGCCAAACCTTAGCATTACACTCTAGTTATACATTTTTATGCATTTAAATTGTTATGAATTGTTAACATTCAAGAAAGAACTTCATTGACATTTGTAAAAATAAAATATAAAAAAGTAATTATACAATTCAGTAAACTTAAAATTCCAAACAAAATATTTATATAAAAAATCTGAAATTAATTAAAAAATCTGAAAATTAGTAATGATCTAATTTATATAAATTCAATTGTTTGTGTCATAAAGCTGAATCCCCCAGTATGACTATATTCAAAAATATTATAAAAGTTATATATATATATATATATATATATATATATATATATATATATATATATATATATATATATATATATATATATATATATATGTATATATATATACCCACACCCCAGGATCGCTAAATCTCGCTATTATAAAAGTAGTATCAGTCAAAATATTGGTATCTAGTCCACTCTAATACCCATGTTATTAAATACAGTAATTATGAGGAAATAAAGCGCTGAGCCAGAATGACTATAAGGCGCTTGAAAAGGATATGAGATAGACTAAGAACTGGGGGGTCGAAGATGAAGGAACTTGGACTGTCTGGGGACAGAACTTCAACTGTACAAGAAGCGAGGCTCTGTCTATCCCTCTCCCCTCTCACGATGGATTATGCCTCTTCTTTACAGCCATATCCGTTGATGGATTATTTCTACATCCCTTCTCTCTCCCATGATGGATTACTTTCCCCCCCCCTTTCCATCGTGGATCCTCACTCTAATCGCCCTTCCCATAATGGATTACCTCTGGTCGTCCTTCCATGATGGATCACCTTCCCATCGTGTCGTTGAGTCGTCGTCTCCTCACACTGTAGTAATCTCCCTAATAGCTGCGTCCACCCTCGTCTCTCAGGCTTCCTTTATCACCTAACTGGAAGAATCCTCACTGATGTTCATCGTCACTGGTTCTAGAGTGAACACGTGCATCATGGGAGGTGTTGGAGTGAACACGTACATCATGGGAGGGTGTTGGAGTGAACATGTGCATCATGGGAGGCTCTGGAGTGAACACGTGCATCTCTCTCCTCCTCCCCCCCTTCCATATCATCTATCCTGATTAGTTTCCTGTAATCGACCTCATTTCCGGGAGAATTTGTTTCTGTCCGTGATTGGAGGCTTACTAATGGTGTTTCGCTCTTCCTAATCATCATTCAAATGCGATTGTGAACTTCACTGATGATGATGTGTTAGAAGTGATTGATGTTGTCTATGTGGCAGGATGGTTAAAGGTGATTGATACTATGTGGCAGGATTCGAAAGTGACGGTTTGGCTTTATTGATGCGCTGGTTGATGACGTGGTGTCTAATCAACTTTATTACCTATTTGAATGGTAAAGTAAATATTTACATGTATGTAGCCTTCAGGAAAGCCTTCGTAATACAGCAATGTATAATGTATATTATTTAGAGAGAGCCTGTATGATCTTGTTCAGGTAGAGAGTCATCTCTATGGGAGTGTCTTTATCTATAATGTTTTTTTATTTATTATAAATTATCGTGGAATTAATGAAAATTATTTTGAATAATTGTCAGTGCTTAAGAATGCTGGGTTGGTGGTGTAACCACCCCGGTCGGCCGAGCGGACAGCACGCTGGACTTGTGATCCTGTGGTCCCGGGTTCGATCCCAGGCGCCGGCGAGAAACAATGGGCAGAGTTTCTTTCACCCTATGCCCCTGTTACCTAGCAGTAAAATAGGTACCTGGGTGTTAGTCAGCTGTCACGGGCTGCTTCCTGGGGGTGGAGGCTTGGTCGAGGACCGGGCCGCGGGGACACTAAAAAAAAAAAAGTCCCGAAATCATCTCAAGATAACCATCAAGATAACCATCTCAAGATAACACCCGCGGTGGTGAATTATTACTCGTTTAGTAGCTGGGGTGGTTAAAGCTGCAGGTAATACCCTTAAGTGTGTAATTAGTGTTTATAACGTGCTTGATCCACGAGACTGTCCTGGTCGGCGTACTGCACCCACTTATCACCTGCAGGTGACATTGAATTAGTTCAAGCTCGCGCCGTTAATACATATGTAGGTATTGGACGTCCAGGGTTCGTTAGTAGTTTCACAAAACTCGTTAAACACATTTTTGTTCATTAGTTTCGTTGATTTCGTTAGTGGCGAGGGTGAGTGACATATCAAAGAAGAATGAATTCAAGATGTTCATCGTCAGTGGTTCTAGAGTGAACACGTGCATCATGGGAGGAGTTGGAGTGAACACGTGCATCATGGGAGTGTTTGGAGTGAACACGTGCATTATGGGAGGGTTTGGAGTGAACACGTGCATCATGGGAGGGTTTGGAGTGAACACGTGCATCATGGGAGGGTTTGGAGTGAACACGTGCATCATGGGAGGTTCTGGAGTGAACACGTGCATCATTGGAGGATTTGAAGTGAACACGTGCATTATGGGAGGGTTTGGAGTGAACACGTGCATCATGGGAGGGTTTGGAGTGAACACGTGCATCATGGGAGGGTTTGGAGTGAACATGTGCATCATGGGAGGGCTTGGAGTGAACACGTGCATCATGGGAGGTTCTGGAGTGAACACGTGCATCATGGGACAGTTTGGAGTGAACACGTGCATCATGGGAGGGTTTGAAGTGAACACGTGCATCGTGGGAGGGTTTGGAGTGAACACGTGCATCATGGGAGGTTGTGTTCCAAATTATGGACATAGATTTCGGAACAAATTACTTACTGAAATTTTTAGAAAAGTTCAGGACTGCCTCCACCAGTCACATCTTGATTATCTTGAGTTGATTTCGGGGCTTTAGTGTCCCCGCGGTCCGGTCCTCGACCAGGCCTCCACCCCCAGGAAGCAGCCAGTGACAGCTGACTAACACCCAGGTACCTATTTACTGCTAGGTAACAGGGGCATTCAGGGTGAAAGAAACTTTGCCCATTTGTTTCTGCCTCGTGCGGGAATCGAATGTTGACATGTCCTGTACAAGTTCTCTAAAATTACGTTTATGAAATAACATCTTTTCTAGCCAAGAGCCCTAGGCACCAGCCCTCCCCTAGACACAAGCCCTCCCCTAGACACAAGCCCTCCCCTGGACACAAGCCCTCCCCTAGACACAAGCCCTCCCCTAGACACAAGCCCTCCCCTAGACAAAAGCCCTCCCCTAGACACCAGCCCTCCCCTAGAGAAGAGTGCCAGCACCATACTGCCTTGTGTTCCCCTACAGAATCACTTCTCTGAATACCGACATTTAACTTTACCTCTTTTGGGAATACAGCAATCGTAGTCTATCCAAGATCTGGGTGTGCACTCACAACCTTTGCTACACCAGCTGACAGTGTTTACGTCGCCAGCAGCGGCCGTGGCTCCGTGGCAGATGGCGCCACCATTACCACTGACAGCTGCTGTAAATATTGAGGGCCGGCGGGGCGGAACCTATTCTCTATCCTGGGTTAGGGTCACCACACTCTCTAGTTCTGCGCCTCATTATAAAATGTTCAGGTTCACGTCTGCGCCAGGCTCATTCGTAAACAAATTTGTGAACAGTATTTGTTCTTAAAAGTGTTCTAAACATGTACTCTTAGACCTGGGCTGATATCTAATTCAATAGAGCAGGTGTTCTTAATATTTTTAAGACTACAGGCCATATATATATATCACTATATATATATCTATATATATATATATTATCTATCTATAATATATATATATATATATAGATATATATATATATATATATATAATATTATATATTGGTGGTATACTGGCAGCAGGTTTTCTTTCAAACATGTTTCATTGAATATGACCGCATATTCTGTGTTTATTATTTTCTGGTTTAGGGCTTCTATCCCTCTAACTATTTTCTTAGCATCAGGGCTTAATTGAAATAGGGGTTGATATATATATATATTATATATTATATATATATATATATATATATATATATATATATATATATATATATATGAAAGGAGTAATCATTAGTCACTAGTAATGAAAACGGTGATGAAGAGGAGTTATCAAAATAATTCATACCGTTGGGGGAGTAATTTACCAAAAGTTGAGGATATTAGAGCATGAGGGAGCAGTAGCGCCTGTGTGCTGTGGTGAAGGTGACGAATGTCTCGAGAACTTTGCTGGAGATCGTAAACAAAAATGGAAAGCCATTTGCCTAATTGATGGTGACTTAACGAGTGAAAAGTTTTCAGTGAGTGTGTACTCACCTATTTGTACTTGGCGGGGGGGTTGAGCTGTGGCTCTTCGGTCTCGCCTCTCAACTGTCAATCAACTGGTTGTACAGGTTCGTGAGCCTATTGGGCTCTATGATATCTACACTTGAAACTGTGTATGGAGTCAGCCTCCACCACATCACTGCCTAATGCATTCCATTTGTCAACCACTCTGACACTAAAAAAGTTCTTTCTAATATCTCTGTGGCTCATTTGGGCGCTCAGTTTCCACCTGTGTCCCCTTGTGCGTGTGCCCCTTGTGTTAAATAGACTGTCTTTATCTACCCTATCAATTCCTCTGAGAATCTTTATGTGGTGATCATGTCCCCCTTAACTCTTCTGTCTTCCAGCGACGTGAGGTTTAATTTCCGTAGTCTCTCCTCGTAGCTCATACCTCTCAGCCCGGGTACTAGTCTCTCCTCGTAGCTCATACTAGGTACAGCCCGGCAAACCATTGAACCTTCTCCAGTTTAGTCTTGTGCTTGACTAGATATGGACTCCACGCTGGGGGCTGCATAGTCCAGGATGGTCGGACATAGGTGGTATACAAAGTTCTGA